ACTCCCCCATCTCTTAACCATCCAAACCTCCCACCCCCCTTTCCAAATTTTTGTTTTAAAAAAAAATGTACAAGTCCCATATCACCCACACGCCACCATCGCTCCAATCCAACCCCACCAACAAACGAGCAACCGAACGCGCAGGAGTAGAAGAACTCACCCTACAACGAATACCTCCACACATTGATCAAGCAAAGTAGGTACCAGTATATCGCTGCTCTCTTTATTCCCTATCACCCATGGGCGAGTATTCACCCATGATCATAGAGAAAGAAAGAGACTTATGATTTCGAGGTTTTGGTTTAATGTACCGCATGGATTACAGAGTTTCAAGGAATAGTCTCGCCTTGTACTCCACCTTGCCTTGCGGAGGGAGGGATTATGTGTGATTAAGGGGTTTTGGTGAAGATGGTGTACATAGTTCACGTTGCGTAATATTTTATTCGTCACTGGGATATGAGCAGGAAAGTGATGAGGAAAAGAGAAAAAAGAAGCAAATCGAAAAGGGAAAAACAAGGAATACCACTATATTCCTAATAAAGCATCACGGGGTATCTATCTTTCTCATGATCTCCTCTCCTCTTCTCTCATCTTCTGCCATTCATATACTACCATTTTCCTTTGCCACCAAATAACAATCTTCCACCAGGCCTCTCATTATTTTCCATCCTCGCCAAGGCCCTATCAATATCATTTACATCTAATTCACCGCTACCGACCCCTATCATTCTATCTTCCGCCATATTTTCATCTTCATCCTCTCTGTTTTGTACCAATTGTAACGCGTATGCATTCTGGTTTGGTTTTGGCATTACAGATTTTCCACCAATGAAAATGGTAAATCTGTGCTCACCCATTATGAAAATATCGGTTGATATCTCAGTCCTGGAATGTAGTGAGATTGAGGATTTAGGAGCTTGTTCGATACCAGTGCAACGTTCACCTAATAGGTCTACATGTTCTAATTTGATGGGCCGAGAACCAGGAGATGTGTTGAAAATGTTTGTTGAAGATTGGCCTCTGCGGGGATTGGCAGACCAGTATTTCGAAAGAGACGGGATGAGCGTGTACGATTCACCAAGCCAGAAAAGAATGGACTCTTCGAATGTTAAATGAGGAGATGTCGACGGGACCTCGAGTACTGAGATACTTCCACGAATTGGACCAGAAGGTTGAACTTTATTGCTGAATAGATCCGTCGTCTTACGGGTTCCAGGAGTCATGGGAGCGAATTTTGATTGGGCAATTTGTGGCGGACCCGAGGTTTTCGAACTAGATTTTGTAGCACCTTCAACATAACCTGTAAGGTTGAAATCCGTTCGTGAACCTCCTTTTATGGATTGCTGACCAAGGACACCTCTTTTTGCGCCTGGTCCTACTCCATATATGTCCCACACACCCCATTCTCCATCATTCAAGAGTGCGATAACTGCCTTACCACCGTATACCCATTTTGCATCTACGATTGTCTTTCGACCGAATCCAGAATACATGTTCTTTTGAGGTGCTTGGGAATCAGGTTTACTGTTCTTGAATCCAGGATATAAAGATATTAGCCAAGATCCTTGCTCAGAAATCGCGCTCTCGGGATCTTCCGATGGGTTCACTAGAAGCTTATAATTATAGATTCGACAAGTGCCTAGATTATCGGCGACAAGTAAATGACTTGAATGTTGTTCTGAGAATGATGGATTGAAAGAGATGCTGACAGCCGGAGATGGCATATATATGGATTGGAATGGTAATATCATAGTTGACGACGATGGTATCGGCAGTAGTATGCGCCATAGCTGTAATAATCCAGTAATTTCTTTTGAATGTGAAGCAACAATAATTTGCGTTTCTGGTTCAGTATTTGATTCGTCTTTTGTGGAAGATTGCTTTCCCTCAAAATCAATAGTCATGGATACACCATCAGAAGTTTTTTGGTGGCCAGTCAAAATAATCATAGTTTCTCCCCATTTTCCGTTTCCGACGTTTGCTATCGTAGGAGTAAGTCGAAATTCATCACGGTCCTTACTTAGGGGAGACGGCGGTGTGAGTGGTAGTGTGATCAGTCGAATAGTATTATCACCACAGGTTGCGGTGAAAACTATTTTTTGTTTCAATGGATCGATTCCACGCCAGGGTGCCCCACTTGCTTTAAGTATCGAGTTCGGCAAAACGCTGATATGAAGAACATCGGTACCAAATTGTAAATCTAGTGTCTGCAGAACGCTTGGGTACGGCCTTCTTGGGTCAATCTCTTGCTCTTCATCTTCAAACTCGGGTTTATCCTCAAATGGTGGTTTAGAGGGTTCTTCCTCATCTGAGTCAAGAGATATGACAGCTTTATTCGACCCGTTTGTTTGTGCAGCCTTTGGAGTTGCTCCCTGCGGCAACTTGAAAGGCCTGCCACCTCTCCATATAATTTTCACACCATTTTCATTGCCTTGTAAAATAATCGTCGATCCATTGGGAGAGGATAAGGGGTACACCTTGGTAGTATGAGTGCGATGTGGCAATTCGTAACTAAGAATGTTAGACAAATTATTCCTCGAAGGTTAATTTGAAGCTACCTCAGTTGTGTATTTTGGGGATTCTTTGAAACTCTAGGATTGGAAAAGCCGGCGGCCATGGCTCAGACAAAGATTATGTTGATGAGATCTGGACGATGGGATCGTCACTATGAATGGCCTCTTATGACTCGTATAGCCCGGCGACGAGGCGTGAAAGCTTGTGTTGAGACTTTTTGAAGATTTAGTTGCTTTGCTACTTCGATCGCGACAAATTGCGCTTGAGAGTGAAGTCGCGTCAAGCTTCACAGCACGTGATGTGTTTGCGTTCGCGATATCGACCGAAGATAATCCGAACAGTTCCCCCGAGCCGCCAAAGTTATTACGCAATCAATTACCAACATTCGATGAAGCTACTCAAGTACCTCACCGGGGAGTATTTTCTTTTCGAATCCCGCATCTCAAACCCCTTGAAGCTGTGATGATAACTTCTAGATGACATTTTCCAGCTGCCAGTCCTGGTCTTAGCAATATTGTCGTCTTCGATGTGAAGCTTTGAAAATCCTACACATAAGATTATTTTTACGCATATAGATACTGCAATCAATCCAGTCTACAAGGAGTGTAGACTTATTAAAAGGGGTTGATTTCAATCATATGGATTCCTTTTGCATTAGTATCGCTTTTCCTTTCCGGCTTAATATTGTTGTATAACAGATGCGCAGAATGAAGATTTTAACACATATGGATACATATTGTATGGATCTCATCTTCAAGCGGTGGAAAATCATGAAGCATTGATTCACAATCGTCTCAAGCCTTTGCATTGATGTCGTCCTCTTTTCCGCACTTAGCTAGTTCCCCGGGTCTAAATTTTATACTTTTGGATGAAGCTTTCATCGGATCGCGAATATCATCTTGGCTTCAACAAATTGAGTCATACCGCGAAAGCTCTCCTGCAGGTAAATCCCTTATCATTGACAAGATCTTGCAAGGGGCGGACGTTGACAAATTCGACACTTAACGGCTCAAGCGGGTATCGGCACAAAGCTTATTAGCTGGTTGGCTGGTTGGCTGGTTGGCTGATCCTTCCCCTCCCACTTCCACATGCCATAACCATAACAACATCCCACACCGTCTTGTGTCTTTCTGCAATGGCCCGCACCAAATAGCACTTCTGGATAACGCCCATCTTACCATTTATCCATTATCCATCTATTATCCATATCAAACTGCATCAGAATCCTCAATTCCTTCCCCCAAAAACATTGGAAGACGTTCAAGAATATAATCCATTGCTTTTATGGTTTCTATAGCTGACAATGCTTCTCTTCTCCCAGTGGAGAACTTGAGCTACTAAGTAGTTCACGTAAAATTTTGATGCTCACAAAGTTCGTATCAAAAGTGGAACGAAACAAAAATTACTTTTGGAAAGTCTCGCATATCATAACTTAGCAAGTTAGCCTCCAGTTTTCACTCACTACTGGGTACCCTCGTACTAGATGCACATAATTTTGAAAAAAAAAAGCCAGGTATTAGATATTTTGCGTGCGGAATTAATGGCCGCTATACACCCTTGGCCTAGAACCGGGGTAGATTGCATGATTGTTAGTTTGTCATCTGGACCTTTAAAGATACTCCATGCCCACAACTTCTTAAACATATTCATATTCAATCTGTCTCCTTCATAAATGAGACTCTTCAGATGGGAAAGTGGTTTGTGGCTTAAAATGTTCTCACTTACTATCACTAATATATTTTAATAAATCGACCCCGTCCAAAGAGAATACCAAGGCGCATTGATCGCCTTCTTCTTGAGTTCATTGGGTGACAAGCACAAGTAAGAAGTTTGTGCTCATACGTCTTTGGAACCTTATCACATCATGGTGAACGATACGGGCCTCGAGAAGGATGAAATCCACGACTTCAACCTCTCCAATCCTGCTTCTTCAACTCTGGCATCTTCATTATCAGATCATGAAAACTACCATCCTCCTCTCTCGCATGCACCCTCCATCACATCATTGTCCTCCGACTCGATCAACAGTGACCCCCTAGCTCCCCTCGAACAGGCCCTCACTCCAAATCTTGAGACACCTGCGGAACAACTTGCACATGCCCAACTCACTTACACAAAGACGGGTACATCATACGCGACTACTCGTTCACGGGAACCATCATTCGAAGTTGATTTTGAAGAGAACGATCCTGATGATCCAAGAAGTTGGCCGCTATGGTATCGAGCTTATACAATATTTGCTGTGAGTTTCGCGACATGGGCGACAGTTTTATACAGTTCATCATACACTTCAAGTATGCCGGGAATGATGAAAGAATTTTCCGTCACGAGTGAGCCAATCGCCACATTGGGTGTCACAACATTCTTGCTTGGATTGGCTGCTGGAAGTTTGGTTCTTGCCCCGTTGAGTGAGATTTGGGGTAGGAGGCCAGTTTATATTGGATCTTTGGCTTTCTTTGCATTGATGGTTCTACCTTGTGCTTTGTCCACTTCTTTAGGGGAGGTCTTGGGCGTAAGGTTTGTTGGGTAAGCAAAGATTCATTACTGTTTATGCTCGGTGCTAATGCGAATACAGTGCCCTTGCAGGTGCTGCCATGATAGCCAACTCTCCTGGGACGGTTGCAGATATCACAACTGATGATTATCGTGCACTGGCCTTCAGTTTTTGGAGTATCGGGCCAATGAATGGTCCAGTGACGGGGCCCCTTGTTGGTGGTTTCGCCGCCGAATACTTAGGATGGCGATGGACAAATTGGATCGTGATGATACTTGCTGGGTGCGCCTTGGTAGCTTGTGGATTCGTCAAAGAAACGTACGCACCAGCAATCTTAATTAAGAAGGCAGCAAAAATGCGCAAAGAGACAGGAGATGATAGATATTGGTGCCGATACGATCAAAAGAAGAGCTGTGAGTAGACGTTAATATTTATCTAATGAAAGTGGCTAATCTTTGGTTTCAGTCTACGAAATCTTGAAGATCAACCTTTCTCGGCCATTCATACTCAGCTTTACGGAACCAATCCTTTGGTTCTGGAATACGTACATAGCAGTAAGTTTTTCTCGTTGCTTGAAGCTATCAAAAATAGTACCACAATGTACAAGAATAGCACCCCCAAGATTTCATGTCACGGGAACAAGTGGAACTAATAACTACATTTAGATCATTTATGGTATCCTTTACCTGTGTTTCGTTGCATATCCAATCATTTACACGGACATGCGTGGATGGAGTTTAGGGCAGACTGGCCTCGCTTTCCTAGGAATAGGATTGGGAAACATGCTCGGAATTCTTTCTGAACCACTTATTCGCAAAATGATTAATTCACACAAGAAGGATCCGGCAACTGGCAAAGTTCCTCCAGAAGCTTCGGTAAGCATTATTTGTATAGCGGCCGTTATGTGTCCTATTGGACAACTTTGGTTTAGCTGGACTTGTGTTCCTATCACAATCCATTGGATCTGGCCAATCCTTGCTGGAATTCCTTTCGGAGCTGGAAATACCTTGGTTTTCATCTACGGTACGAATTATCTCGCTGGTTCATATGGTATCTATGCGGCATCGGCGCTAGCAGGAAATAGTGTGATCAGATCAATCGTTGGAGGGACATTACCATTGGCAGGGCCAGCCATGTACGGTACGCTGAAACCACAATGGGCTGGAACTTTATTGGGATTAGTACAAGTCTTCCTAATTCCCATTCCTTTCATTTTTTATAAATGGGGATCGAAGATTCGTGCCAAGAGTCCATTGATCAAGCAAATGAGGGAAGAGCAAGAGAAAATTGACAAGAGGGCTGCTAGGGCAAAGAGAAGGGAGGAAAAGCAAGCAGGGTTGGAACCAAGTAATAGAGGGACGGTGATCATTAGCGATAAGGATATGGAAAAGGGTAATGACATTACGACCGGGACCGAAGAAAAGTCATAATAGAAATAGCTTGGATGACATCATGAAAATATTTATGGGGGATGAGGTTACGGCTATGGAACGGGCATGCATGAATAGAGTGGATGATACCCAACGATAGAAAAGTTATAGAATAATGTTTGGACACCTATGATTAGATATGATGCCCCTGAAAGTTTACCTTCAAATGTGAAGAGCTCCATTATCTTCTTCATGGTATATGGATATTTGTATTGACTTTGTGACATACATGTGATAAGTACCATTTTGGATCCGTCTAGTCCACGCAATGGACAATCAGATGTCCATCTATCGATTAGATACATAAGGTATAGTACAGGTGATCAGCCTTACGATACCCCTCCCAAACTATCACGAGCGCTAATCTTCGGTAATACGATACGCTAGTCTACAAGTCACGAAAACTAAGTGGTAAGTCTTAGAAAGGAAAAGAAGAATTTGCTGTTGGCAGTCTGAATAAGATATGAATGTTTGGATTTTGTTAATTTCATGATTTTGATTGTGTAGTTAAATGTGAATCAAATGAAGGGGGTTGTGATGAACAGCGAGCATAGAATAATTGTTTGAATGGAAAACGTAGTATTATTGTCTAGTAGGTAGGTACTGGGGTAAGTATAAATAACCCTCCCTGTCCGGCATATGAAGACTTTATCTCGAATAAATTCAAACTTAGGGTTACTGACTCTTGACCTTATATATCTAGTACGGCTAATATATTCCAAAAATACCTATATAGACCAACTCATAGAAGCAGGTGTATATTGGTGTACGGACTAAACACATACTACCTCCAGCCTTAGCCTCACTAGCGCAAGCGACAAATCCTTACAACAAAGAACACAAAACATCTTCCACTTTTTCCTCTTTCCCTTTCCCTTCTCTCTTTTCCCTCTACACACGCTCAATTTCAACGGTACTCTCCCGAAAATCCTTCATCAGTGTCAAGACAATTCTACACTCAATCTAAATATCTTCTTCTTCTTCGTACGGTCGATTTATCGCAAGGGATCACTTTGAAAAAGGCGGAGAATAAAATACGAAGCATTTGTTTTCGTTATTGGACATTCGATATAATTCAGCTCAATAACCCACCCAACAAACAGAAAGCCGTGTTCCTTTTTCTCCACAAATTTCTCGCACAGTCACCGCCCCACGCAAAACGAACAACCATCATTCTCTAGATTTTCGAAGAACCCATTCGATTCATCATCTTCATCAAGACAATTTCCCATCAAAAGGATTTCGTCTCGACATTCAAGACAGCTCGAATCCAATCCCTCAAGGCATTCCGCACGACAAAAGAAGACTACAATTTACATCCATTCTGTTACCGAAAAAGAATTTTACTGTGACTTTCATTAGCCATGGCAATTCCGACACAGTTTGCATACAGAACACTGAAGGGGATTGGTATCTTGGATGCCGCACCCGTCTATCAACCTTTGCCCGGTTTCCAGAGACCCGAAGGTAACTCTCGCTGCTGTACCTACTCGCCATGCGGTCGGTACTTTGCTTGGGCTTCCAATGACGGAGTGACTGTCGTTGATGCGTTTGCCGGTCACATCATCACTAGCCTTCCCACACCAAACGTCTACGAATTGGGTTTCTCCCCTCGTGGCACATACATCATCACTTGGGAGAGACCTTCGAAGGATGAGAATGGTGATGCGGTCAAGAATTTGAAGATCTGGCGCACGGTGGAGGATGTTGCGGAGGGAGCTGAGAAGGAGGTTGTTGGGAGATTTGTGCAAAAGTCACAAACTGGTTGGAACCTTCAGTACACTTTCGACGAGAAATATTGCGCCCGAAATGTGACGAACGAGGTCCAATTCTACGAGAGCGGCGATTTGCGTACAGTTTGGAATAAGCTTCGTGTAGAGGGCGTTGCGGATTTTGCAATTTCTCCAGGTAACAACTATTCTGTAGCAGTTTTCATTCCAGAGCGCAAGGTATGTGATATTTCAACTCGGGGTTGAGAATCTAGCTAATGAATTATTTCAGGGTCAACCTTCCGCCGTCAAAGTTTTCAACGTTCCACAATTCAACGCCCCGGTTTCACAAAAGACATTTTTCAAGGGCGACAAAGTTCAATTGAAATGGAATCAATTGGGTACAACCTTAATCGTTCTCGCCCAGACAGATGTTGATAAGTCGAACAAGAGTTATTATGGAGAGACGACATTATATGTGCTGAGCGCAAATGGTGGATTTGATTCTAGAATTACTCTTGATAAGGAGGGGCCAATTCATGATGTTTCTTGGTCACCAAACTCGAAAGAATTTGGTGTCATTTATGGATATATGCCAGCAAAGACAACTATCTTTAACCAGAGAGCTGTTGCGACTCATACATTCCAACTTGGTCCTAGAAACACGATTTTGTTCTCTCCCACTGGTCGATTTGTTTTGGTTGCCGGTTTCGGAAACTTAGCCGGTCAAATGGATATCTACGATCTCGAAAAGGATTACAAGAAGATTTGTACAATTGAAGGTGGAAATCCTAGTGTTTGCGAGTGGAGTCCTGATAGCAAGTATATCTTGACAGCTACAACCAGTCCTAGATTGCGAGTTGATAATGGTGTTCGATTATGGCACGTTACAGGTGGGATTATGTACAACGAGGATATGGTCGAGTTATACCACGTTACCTGGAGACCACAGAGCCCTGAAAGTTTCCCGGCCGGAGATTTCTTGAATCCAGTGCCTCAACCACACCCATCGGCTGTCGCTTACTTGGGTACAGTCAAGACCCCATCCAAGCCAGCAGGAGCTTATCGTCCTCCTGGAGCACGTGGTCAAGCTACGCCATCTCATTTCAAGCGTGAAGATGAAGGTGGTTCCGCTCATTTTGTTAGCAATGGTACATCAATGGTCAACACCAATGGATTTGGTCGATCTCGTAGACAAGTCCCAGGTGCTGATTTGTCCGAGAACTCTGTTCCAGGAGCCGCACCAGCCGTTCCAGGTGCCGTTGAAGACGAAAATCTTTCCAAGGCCGCACTCAAGAACAAGAAGAAGCGCGAAGCAAAGAAAGCAAAGGATGCCGAAGCTAAAGCGGGTGGTCTTGGTGCCGGAACTCCAGATGCATCAAGAGGTCCAGGTGGTGATCGTAGCCCGGACCGAAGAGATCGTCAACGTAGTCGCTCAAAGAGTAACAATATGCGCTCTCCATCCCAATTCAGAACTCACGGTAATGGCGGCCCTCACAACCTTCACCAACATCCTCACCCTCACCAAAACCAGCGTCAAAATGGAGGTGTATCTCTTAACGGAGCTGCAGGTACCGGTGCAGGTGGAATGAAGAATCTCTCAATCAACTCAAACCAAAAACCAATCACCCCAACTCAACAATTCTCAACTCCAGAATTGTCAGTTACCAGCCCAGGTGGTGATGGTAGCCCATCGGCTAAGAAGAAGAGGGGATTACAAAAGAAGATTAGAGCAATTGAGGATTTGGAGATGAGGAGAGCTGGAGGAGAGAAGTTAGAGGATACACAAGTTAAGAAGATCGCCACCAAGGGGGCCGTTCAAGCGGAGTTGGATGCGCTTGACAGGGAATAGATTTTTGGTGGGAGGCGGTGGAAGTGGAGGAAGGGATGATGTAGAGAATTGGGAAACAGACAATGATTCTTTGGACAACTTTTCATATCAATTCATATATCATGTTGAAAGTGGGTAAAGTCCAAGGATGCGGGCTTGTGGATGGATGAATGGATGGATTAGTGGTGGGCGTTGAGTCATAAGTTAAGCAAGCGCTGATGTTAAAGTTTGCAAGATATGATGAATGCCACAGTAGCGGATGGATGCGTGCGGATAAGAGATATAGTCGACAAGGATCATAGCGATTGATATATAGTATTATACTATAGACAAGAGATGAATAATGAATGAATATATCTATAGTCATAAAAGCTTTCAAAAGTGTATGTATGAATAAGTCTGAATATAATAATAAATAATTAAGTTTTTTATTTCATATCTGATGTTACAACCAATCCTAACAGCTACTCAGGTGACTAAGCTTATAGTCACATGACCCAATATTGTCCCACCTAGAATCACTCAACTATAGGCAATGGGATATAATGGAAGGCGATAGGATGTATAATATGAAGGTCTATATAATCATGATGGATTTCCTTTGTATAGAGCTTCGTGCTCAAGATCAATTATTTAGTATATTCTACTATTAGTTACGAATTGCATATCATTATTGTCATTACTTAAATCTTTGTTTAATACCTAGTTATAAATCACTTCGAGAGCCTAGAGCACTTCCATATGATCTAGACGGCAAACCTCGTAATATCTGATTATTTTTTATAATTTTATCATTTTAAATCTTGAATATATCTTTTTTTTTTAAAACTTCATTTATAAACTTAATATATCAATCGTGTTATGAGGTTTGCTGTCTAGATCATATGGAAGTGCTCTAGGTTTTCGAGGTGATTTATAATTAAGTGTCAAGCAGGGACTTAAGTAATGACAATGATGATATACAATTCGTAAGTAATAGTAGAGTATACTAAATGATTGATCTTGAGCATGAAGCTCTATATAAAGGAAATCCGTCCTGATTATATAGGCCTTTATGCTATAGACCTTCAGGACCCCGAAAGGTCCTGGATCTAAGAATATGTTGGACCTTTATTTTTCGTGCATATTATGTAGGGTCTATCACGTGATCGAATCACGTGGTAATGGGCTTGTGGAGTCCGACGTAACAAATCGAAAAGTTAAAGTTTATAAATTTCATTGAAATCAATTATAAAAAATCTTAAATTCTCAGAATTCATTTATAATTATACAAAGAACTTATAATTCAAGTTTAATTCAATAATATTCATTGGTTGTAAAGTTATTAATAGATGAAAATGGTGATTTTTGGTGTAAAAGAGTGGCCTACATTAGGGGTGGCTTAAAAAGGGGGGACTAGACTTATATACTAGAAAGCTGAAAATAGTCAGATTAGTTGGACTAGTTGTAAATCTCTTGTATCTAGGAAGTAAGACCATGAATTTGAAGTTAAAAATAAACAAGCCGGAGTTAATACCAGGTAACACAATCAAATCTAGGTTCTTAAACAGAAAAATCACATCATTGACACTATAAAGTAATAAGCGGCAAAAAAAATCATAGAGTAAAGTCAGAAGTGTAACATCCATGAATTATATTAGAAGAAAGGTATGTCTAACGTCGTAAAATACAGCCAAAGATCCGAAACACCAGTGAAATAGATCCATGAAGAAGCTTCAAAACTTCCTTTCCATAATGACAGAAAGAAACCTCTGGATAGACTTTCTAGACCTCACACCCTGAGAAATCAAGATCCAGCGCGAAAAAGCGACACAATACCTTCTTTCTTAAAACTTCTAATAGCCACGACGTACGAATACTGTAACTTTCCAGAGCATTCCATGAATAGGACACTCAAGTACCTTATAAGAGCGACGCTTATGCCACAACCCTTCACGTTCTTCAACATCTTGAATAAATCCCCAGCGTTCTCCATTAATCATCTGCATACCCTCTTTAACAAGCTGTGCCACAATTTCCGGCGCAGAACTCTGTGTATTCTGACCCCTAGCCCAGAGAGGAATCTCGAGTTGAACAGGCCAGTAAAACCAAATAAGCTCCATGTTTTCCCTGATACGTGTATTTTTGGTGGAAGAATTACCGTTAATGTTGTTGTTGTTTTGGTAAGGAGTATTGAAAGGAGAGACGGATTGACAGGGACTAAAACCATAAGCGTGAGGATTTCCATAATGGATAGGTGAGACAGGGGGATCTAGACGGAATCGTTCGAGGCGGAATTTGACATTGAGTTGGAAATTTGGCCTGATGAATCGAGGGAGGGGGATTGGAATAGATGGGGCGATGCTGTAGGATGAGCCGGCGAACATTATCGGACCGGTAACAACTTGAGGAGGTTGATTATTAGGAGTGCGGTTATTGTGAGCGAGCTGGAGCTGAGTATTGTTCTGAGTATAAACGCCACCATTGCTTTGATGGCCTCCTTGCGGGTTAAGTTCAAGTTGATGATTATTATTATAAGTAACATTAGCAGCAATATAGTGAGTAATGACGCTAGCTGCTGGTCCAGAAGGAGCTTGCAGTTGAAATCCATATTTGTTTCCCTGATGTGCACCATTCTGTTGTCCTTGATTACTACCGCCCTGATTGTATCCTCCAGTAGCAGGGACAACTCTAGAAACTGGTACCATGTCGAAGAAACCGGGATGCAAACCACGGTTGGGTGCTTGAGCATATGTAGCGACGGTGGGATGTAGAATGTGATTGATGAAAAATGCTAATCGAGTGGTATATGCATGGATGTTGACAGGAGTAGGAGTAGCAACTCTTTGGCAATTTTCGCAGCAGAATATTTGAGGTGCAGGTTGGATGTTGTATTGAGGAGGAGGCGGCGGAAGTTGAGGTTGTTGAGGTTGTTGAGGCTGCTGTGGCCAGTTATTAATCTGCTGACCATAGCCATGCTCAGCTGGATTCCAAGCACCGCCAGCCCAGCCTTGATTACCACTATAGTCTTGATTTTGATATGGATCCATTATTAAGTCCGCGGGAGGGCGTTAACGGTGTCTTCAATGTAAGTAGAATGGTATTAGACGTAAAGCTGAGGCCTAGATGGTATCTCGTTAGTAGTTAATCAAGGAATGTACTCGAATCTACGTGATATGTACTAACTGTAGAGAATTTTCGGTAAATAGAGTGTATTAGACGTCTGCTCTGATATCAAGGATGACGTAAAAAGAACGAGAGAGGTACCGAGGAGAATCTAACCGAAATAGAAGCTTTGAAAAAAAGCGCAACTCTAGTTCAAGACAAGGAAACAATCTATCTGAATATTATTTCCAGACGATGTACTTGAAGGAGGAGGGCTCGAACTAAATACGAAGAAGAGAGTGTAGGAAACAAGAAGAAAGATGTTTACAGATCAAAGCCGCTGTTTAAATAATCTCTCAATTTGCAATCTCAGCAAGCTAAAACCGTAGCTACGCCTCGAGTTTACATTACGGAATCTTCCCTACTGCTTAATTCAATGATATGGATGAATAAAAGTATTGATACGCGTCTAAACTAGTAAACACTAGTAAATAATCAATGATACGGCTTAAATTTGATACACTAGTATCCTCTCTACCGCCAAATGTGAATACTAAGGCCAATTTGCGCTCTGAAACACGGTACACATCTATATTATTTAAATGATCTATTCCGACAAATCTAAGCCCCTTGAAATCATTCAATGATATGTACTAAACCTTAAATTGACTACCATATGACCTATGCAATTATTCACCATATAGAATCTAGTATCATCTTTGTTGATTTTATCCAATACTTTTATCCGGTTGGAATATTACTAAGAAAAGCTACTTTGCTGCTGACAAATGTCAAGAGAAGAGGTGATGCGCGTTTATATCACTCGTATGATAGGTGGTGGTATGGATTTTATTTCTCTGAGAAGTGACCAGTGATACATTCAGGATATACAGTACTAGACAAAAAATAAAGGCCGTTTTATGTATTTGCACCAAAAAAGTCCAATTTTCACTTTTTTCATTTTCAATTAATATTATAGTTATATATAAACAATCGATATAAAATTATATTTTTATATTAAGATTCATAAAAATGTTTATAAATTATATATAGATTATTTTTACAAATTAAAAAAATCGCAAAAATCGCAAAAATCGTGAAATTTGCTAATAAAAGTATTCAAAATTTAGGTTTTCAAATTATTTCAATTTATATAAAAAATTTATGAATTCGTATAAATATTATAAATTCAAAAGTATGAAAAATGACCTTTTTTAGTGTGTTTTTGTGCTCCGGCCCTTATTTTTTGTCGGTCACTGTACTTTCAGATGATGATTATACCCATTCAATGCATGATTTCAAATAGATTCCATCATCTCTATGTGTCCACCTAATTCTAACTTGCTCGGGGAATAATTTCAGCCATTTAGGTTAGTGGCTGCGGTCAAGAGAAGCTTTAACACCTGTCTAAACTACTCAATATTAACCTTTAATGAAGCTAGTGTGAAATAGACCTTTTAGGGCCTAGTATTTGTGTTAATACACATTTAAATTGCTCAAATTCATGTTATAAAGCCGGTATGAGCTTTTAAATCATTCATTTATTTATAATAACTCAATTACTCTTTAATAGAACTTATTATTATATAAATAATTAATTTATATTCAAATTTTTAAAAGATTATATTTATAAATAAAAAATTTACAAATTTTAATTTTTTTCAAGTTTTATAGAGGACAGTGGTTCAAAAGAGAAGGAGTCTGAAAGTAAAATATTAGATTTTTATTTAAGAAATTCTAAAACTAATTAAATTATTAAGATGATTTTAAAAAAATATATATTGATGTTCTAGGATTCTCAGATTTCAAATTTTCTTCTTTCAAAAAAAATCCAAAACAAAGAGTGAAATATTTAAATTCTTCTTCATTGGTTTTAATAAAATATATTAAAAGAATTCCAAACTCTAAAACCAGAGCTTCTTTTCTCCATCTCAAGATTTCTCGCTAATAATAAAACAATGAAAATCTAAGTTTCCCACCCTCTTCAATCTCTTTCATCCAGAATCTTCTTCTCACATTGGAAAGCTCCCTTTAATAATCAACCAATTATTCACTATCCGGGCTGGGACAGAGGTATTAAAGCTCTGTTTAACCTGCCGTATATTCTTATATGTATGATGTATGAAGGAATTCCTTTCAGTGAATAAGTCACCGAAATTTAAATAAGAATAATTAAAATTGAATTAAAAGCCAATTACTTCACTATTGTACAAGACATAGGATGATATTCTCAATTCCAGTTCTTTGAAACGGTTCGGGAACTTTCTATGGATGGGTGGAGGGAAAAGCTCCACAGCCTCGGTGAGCTAAAAGAGAGATGAAACAAGAACGGGAGATATTAGATTGAGAGATTTCGGGAAGGGTCGGAGATTGGAGGGATGAATCTAGTTTGTGAATTTTTGAAACTAAAGTAGATGGGATGAATGGAGTTATGAAATTTTAATATTGTGAGATGAATAGGATGAAAGTTCATGAAATTTATTATTGGAATGGAAGAGATATGATAAGATGGTTACCAAGGGAAAACAAACACAGTACAATAATAAATATTATGAAAGCCTTTATCTTGGATGATTGACTTTGATGTGAAAGGCTTTGAAGTTCTGTGTGGTTTGCTGCTTGAGGGTATTCTGGCTTGATTTACTGCATATTAGAGCTGAATGAAAATTCTTGGAGTTTTTTTTTGTCCTTATATCACAAGTATCCGAATCTCTTTGAAGTGAAAAACGAGAATCCTGATCAGAGAGAAAGCTCTTTGAATGTTCATACAGTTCAAGACATCTAATAAACCAACCCCATTCTGTTGCAACAACCTGTGCTCCATAACATCAATACATCGTACATCCTAATACGAATCTCCCAAGAATTGTCAAACATTATTTGAGCCGCGAAGTCAAGTTTGCTAGCACTTCCCATCCTTTAGAAAGGGCGAAGAGTTCAGCCACAGCCCGCCAGAAGCCTAATTTTCCCTAGGCCAAATTTCCATCTCGAGACGGATTTCTTTGAGATACGCCAATGGAAGGTCTAACTAAATCATCAACTTCCTCAAGAGTTCGCCCAGCTCAAGTTCAAGGCCACGGCCACCTCCATTCTCCAGTAAAACCTCAACCGCCGACCTTTGGACCTTCTACAACTTCGAATATAGAAGAGCCAAATACAGATATTTACAAACCGCTAATCCTCTCGCCGTCCCTCCGCCCGCGATCACACCCAAGGAGAATCTGAGTCCAGCATCAAGTTCTTTGAGAGTTAGCACAACTATACTTCAAGCAATGAAGTTAACATTAATCTATCACAACCCGATTCCGCCAGTCTCCTAGCCGCATGGACTTGCATACTAAGAAGCCTACTCTGGATTTCGGGTTAATTATTTTGAAAAACTTCTCCCTTCAAGAACAGCAAATAGTTCCCCAATGACGCCGATGTGTGCAAAAGGGGCTTCCTGGAGGTATTAGGAGAAACAGACAGCCTTAACCCCTAACATAACAAATTCTAGTGAGAATGAGAACATACCGTAAAATTCTAGACGCAGCTAGGAAATTATCGTTGGTCTGCCGCTTTGCAGTTTCCCCAACTGCTTCGGTTTCGAATATTGCATGTTAGAGCTAAGACGGCGATTAACGATCACTACTCCCTAAAGTATACTATACTACGTCAAGGAAAGAAAAGGGGCATACAAACTTCAGAAAAGATATAGACAAATCACGGCTGAGAATTCAAACTTGACAATAAACAAGCACAGCAACCGTTTTCCAAGGATCTCAAGATATGGAATAAAGGTACTCCACAACACCTCAGAAGATTTTGAAAATGTCGCTAATGCTCGACTGAGCTTGGGCTGGTCCATACTCCACACATGTATGTACATCTACCAAATATATAAATAATCACCACAGCTGGCAAAACAAGGCAACTTATTCCTTTTTCCCTCGCCTTACTCAAGGCTCGTGAAATCTCTGAGAAGTTAACCTCGCAGATGATAAGTAACTCAATACTGGAAGTTGGAAGCGAGAATTGTGCCTTAAATTAGATAGCTCATGGGACTGAATTCCTAGATTTAAAACAAGATTGCTACAGAACCTTCCATCATATATAACACAAGATGACTATTTGAACTAGATGCTTTAAACTGATTAACGTTCCGGATTTGGTCCTATCTCTTGCGCATCTTTGGATGTGCAATTATCACGGGTACAATTATCATATCTGGTGGTATAGTCTATTGATGCAGCTTCAACACTCGGGAGATAGGAACCATAAATATGAAGCTAGATTTCACCTTCATTATTAGAAGCGAGAATTCGACGTCATCATCTATAACGCATTGTGAGGGGTCTATGAAGAGGAATCCTATTCAGGAGCCACGGTTGCTAATCACGCTGGTACAGAGCCCAAGATGTAATCTTACAATGACACCATATTTACCTGCTAGTCTCTGAATGCGATTGAGAAGACTCGAGGATATCTAAGCTTTGCGGGGATAGAAATCAGGATGAGGGTAGGAAAAGAGGACATTTTAAAGGTAGAGCTAACACTCTGCAGTAGGATGCCAGGACGATAGATAGTACAACTATTCTACAGGAGGCACTTCAGAGGATAAAACTTGAGATTTGAACTCTGACGAAAAGCGGATGAGGAGAATAATGTACAGTAGATTCTAAGACTAACTAAAAGCCCACAATAATTTATACACCACAGAAAAGAAATTACAAATACGGATATACAAGCATTTGAAACTCGATGGGTAAAAACAGGGAAGAGTGTCGCCTGATGTATTTTACCACTCACCTCTACTGCAAATCTGAAGACAGCAGAGAATATAATGAATTTTCCAATCAGCTAATTAATTAACGAATGTTAATATAAAGATAACAAGATGCAAGCCAAACCCACAGATCAGGAATTTTGGGACAATAATAAAGATATAATTAGGAGAAGGATAGTAGACTAAGTTTATTTATTTAGTCTAGTTAGGTACTTGGAAAAGTTTGTATGAGGGTTTCTAGAAACGTGCTCGGGAGTAGATAGATGGTGAAAGTGGTTAGAAGGATTTTTTTTGCTTTCCGATCTGGAGATGGAGGGGAGGAGAAGGAGAAGGAGAAGAATTGTTTTATGGGAGTTTAAGTTAAGTTTTTAGTTTATATGAGCTTATGTATTTATGAGGTGTCTGGTGTGTGATGGGAGACAGGAGTATTTTGTTATGATTTATTGGGTGGGAATATGGTTTGAAGGGGGACTAGGAGCGGGGTGCGGGTTATAGGGATGTTTCTTTTGCAGACAAGGGGTAGTGCGGATGGATGATAGATGGGGATTCATCGAGGAGTGTGCGCTGATTAGTATGGAATTCTTGAGGAGTAGAAGATGTAGAAGAAGGTGTTAAATTTTCGGTATGAATCTTTTAAAATCTTAAAGTTTTCATCTCTTTTCATTATTTATGATTGTATATGTTCAAGATTTTACTGTCAAGATCTTAGAAGTGTATAATCTAAGAGTGAGATGAAAATATAAGAATTATAATCTTATATCAATGATCTTAATGAAAATACCCGAAAGGTGTAGCTATACTCCAGCGCGCAATCATAGAGTACCCAAAACAAGAAAGTTGTTAAAAGGAATAGAAGTTACCGGTACTAATCACGTGTCGTGATTAGTAATACGGTTACCTAAACAGGCTAGATTAGATGAACCATAAGCAGGCATATTGGTCCCCTCCGAGGATACCAAGAGGAGACCTTAATATGCCTACAGACGTAGTAATATAGTCAATATAGAGGCCTCTTCCACCCAATCTTTTAATAAAAGTAGAATTAATCCTCGGGATATTTCAACTTTGATCCTTTCGTGAAAGCCCTGCGTATATATATAAATTATAAAATACATTTAATCAGACAGAATTGTAACTAATACAGTCTGCTTTCAAGAAGATCATGAATAGATATTCATCTTGAGAGTTTTAATATTTTTTTAATACAGTATATAATAAAAACAAATACTTAGATTAAGGTAAGATTTACTATATATCCATCAAAAGAAAGTGTAGAGGGAAAAAAGTTTCTGAATTTAATAATAACTATCAATTATATAATTCAATATATTTTTTATTGATGATAAAAGAAATAATCCAATACCAGATCAAATATCTCTTTCATCTTCCCTCAGTAAAAAAAAGTAGAAATGAATCTACTTGTCAGATATTAATAATTCTTTCTATTATATATATTTCTTTTCGCACTGAATAAGATTATATATAATAAGATAAAATAAAAATCTTCTTCATCTCATCCTACTATAGCGAGCAGGACTTATATCTGAAAATCCACGGATGTTTTCTCTGATGTTAAAAAGAGACAAGATGAACGGACTTCTTTTCCATGGACCGCGCTCAGGCCATAAAATAACAAGGCAATCCACAAAAATCTCATTACACAACAACCCTTTATCCTTTTAATCAACAAACACCAACGCTCAGATCCAAGATCCTGGATCCACTAACATTATTGAGCGCAAAAAAGGCAGATCTAGTGAGTACAATAAACAATACAGAGTACGAGCGCTCTCGAAATGTACACGGATGCAACCTTTTATCCGCTTATCGTACGTTTGAACCTATACCACCCATTGTCATATCATGTAGGTAGGTACCCCCGCATTACGCGTCCTTTTCAATATTTGAAAAGCATGGTTGAGAAATTCTGAGTAGGTAACCTTAAGGAATATTCTTTTGGTTATGGTGTGTTTGGAGCGATTGTTCAGGTGACTAACTGGTAACTTAACTCTATAGAGGCGGAAAATGAGACTGAGTATCTAGCTGTATACCTATATAGAGATGAATATATATTCATATAGAAGAAATATTTCATTTTTTTCTTCGATAGATATGAAAGTTGTGAAAACCTCGAGTTCGAGAATCCAATCACGGGATAAAAGTTCTAGCTTACAAATAGAAGCACCATGAAGCAATAGCTTACGCGGAGGATAAAAAAGGGCGTTAAAGTTCGTGCGGGATTGGGATATACTAAAGACGGTTTACTTTACTAGATTGATTGGTGGTTTGGAGTTTGGTTGGCCAAGGTTTTGCGATGAGGTTATTTGGTCTGTGATTGGATTGTGTGCGTATGGTTCAGGGGTAAAATGTATTGCGTAGACGATGGAAAGTTCTTGGCGGGGGAGTAAACGGGATGGGGTGGGGGGGCTAGTACTTTCTTTTTTTTACTCTGAGTTTTGTGTCAGGTTTGGAGTCTGAAACTTGGGGTTTAAGGTCTAGAATTTATTTGAGTGTTTGGGATGAATGAGGATGGTCTGGCCGATGTCTAGTTGTAAGATAGTGGTGGTGAAAAGGAGTACAGATACCTAGGTAGATGGACATCGATCTAATTACTATGGATATAAAGCTCCAAACTTTTAAGCTTAGAACCCAGACCAGAACCCCAAACCCCATACCCCGAATAAACATCTATCGCACACTGTGTAAATGAAATACCCACAAAAGGAAACCACCCCGCGATAATTATGGGGGATATCCGTAATGCTACTTCCTATACGGGAGTAGTCACATGTAATCTAATCACGTTTGATATCGAGGAGCTTGGTCTTGTATTTATTATCTCGACAACTTTTATTTTAGACCTTCACCTAAAACATACCTATCTACTTAGTACCGGTACTTATATCTATAAAGCCGCTACACAAATCTACGAAGCCCGTTCGTTCGTTACTCAAACTTCTAGAACACCCAAAGAATCTAACAGTCTGTTTCATACCATCGAAGCATTGAATAAAAATAAATAAAATAAGGATCCAAAGAAACTCAAAATACCAAGAAACCAAGAAAAACAATTTGTACACTCCCAAGACCATGCATCTACGAATCATACATGGTTTATAAATCCCAAGTCGGATATCGGGATCTTTTGCAGCCATTACTTGTATATGCCCATGTACTTTTCTTCCTCTCAACAATGTACTTTGACTAAAGAAGTTATAAGTCTATTTAATTTTCGATTATTTTTCAATTCCCCTTCAGTTATCTTCCAATGATAATACTGAATATACTTCGTACCGCCCAAGAATTAACTATCCGCGGATTCATTTATCAGATTCCTATCATAGATCAAGCTTCGGTATGATTAGACACCGATTAGCCGTGCTCTACTATCCTATCACTCATGCAAGTTACCTTTATGCTTGTATCCGAATGATATTTCATAGGTATTACTTTGTATGATATTTATTTGTATTTAACCTTTAACCCGTCAATTAATTCAAGGAAAGTAACATTGACAAGTACATACATACATAGGTACTGTACCTATATATGGAAGTACAGATCCGCTTTTACTTTATCTCTTTCAATCTTTTCACATTTTGATACCTACTGGAACTTTATCTGATAATTTTAATTTCATTCTTGCATTCTCGCATCTTTTAATAATCTATCTATCGATTCTATCGACAGCATAGAGAATTCACTCTTTCAAATATATTTTCCCATGCTTGGCAGAAGTACCTACCCTCTTTTGCCATAAATTGTTGGGACAGGAAAAGTAGGAAAAGATAGAAAGGGAAAGAGTGGCTTCTGCATTTTGTACAGAGGATCCACACATATGAACTTTTGACTTCTTGCGAAGTTTCATTTATTTATTAGTTCTTCTTTCTTTCACTACCTATATATCTGATCGAAACTCCATCTCATAAATTGGAATGCATATCCGGTTTTTGAAGGAGGAGCTCGAGTGTTTAGAAAGTTTCTTTCAATCATTACAATCATGACTGTTAAACATGAAAACGTTAAATGGGTTGATGTATGTTCTTTCTCTTCATTTATTATCTATCCAATTAACTCTGTTCAATTAACTTTCTTGTCAATTCCATCAATTCATGATCAAAGAAACTAACAAAATATTCAGGGTTTACGAGGAATCGCATCACTATTAGTAGTTTCTACTCATATCGCCCGAGCCTTCGATAGCGATCTTTTCCTCCCCAGTTCCGGAGAAGGACTTCGACCTCGCTTTCTTCAACTTCCTCTTCTTCGAGTTCTCGTTCAAGGACGTATTGGCGTTACTATTTTCTCCCTCGTAACGGGATATGTATGCGCTCTTAAACCCATTCGACAATGTCGAGCTGGGAACCAAACCGCTTGTTTCAGTACTATTTCTCGCTCGGCTTTTCGTCGTGTTCCTCGCTTGGTTTTACCAACTACTATTGCGACTACGATTATTTGGTTTTTGTGTCAATTTGGCATTTATAAAATTGCGAAGAGATCAGATAGTTGGTGGATTGAAGCCACGTCCCCGGATATCACGCCGTATTTTGGTGATGCGGTAAAGAGTTTGTTGTATCATTTGATTACGACTTGGACGAGAGGTTGGAATATTTATGATGGGAATCAATGGACTTTATTGCCGTTGTTGAAGGGTGCAATGTTGGTTTATGTTTTTATGTTGGGGACGGGTGGGATGAAACCGAGGTATAGAATGATGTCTAGTATGGCGTTGTTTGTTTATTTTTATGTTGCGAATGATTGTAAGTTTGGTCTTTATTTTGGTGGTTATTCATGGCCTACTTCTATAACGAGTGGGGCTTTATCCTGCAAAAACTCAAGTACTAATTCATCTATCAGCTGCATTTGGAATGCAATTCTTTTTCGGAACGTTTCTCTCCGACCTCTCTCAACATCCACCACATACCCAATGGCTCACAACAGTCACATGGCCGCGTTATTATTTAGCTCCCGCACTGATGCTTCTGGGTTTAATATTCGCCTCTTACCCAGAAGGTAAACCCGAACTTCAACCCTGGTCTCAATCCCTCTATAAGCTCTCACTCTGGATTTTCCCCAACGATCCGGATATCCCACGTTATTACTCTGGCATCGGTCTCGATTTAATTGCCCTCGGTATCCATTTCTCCCCCTTATGTAAAGATTTCCTCTCAAATCGCTATCTCCTCTGGTTCGGAAAAAATAGTTTCGCAGTCTACCTTATTCATGGAACTCTTTTGAGAACATTATTAATATGGATGTTATATGGTGTATCAATGCCTGAAGATACGGTTAACGAGAAGGGAGAAATGGTAAAGGGTGTATTGCATATGTGTGGTAGATTGAGATGGTATTCGATGTTGTTGATTTGGTTTGTCATTTTGTATGCCTTGGCAAATGCGTGGACGAAATGGGTAGATCCTTGGTGTGGGAGGGTTACTCAGAGATGTGAGAGATATGTTTTTGAGGAGGATGGAGGTGAGGAGAGGGGAGGTGGAAGTGGAAGTGGGAGAATGCAGAATGGAGGGGTGGAAAAGGGATTACTTGGTTGATGGAAAGATAATAATGTGATCTGATGTGATTTTTTGGGATTGTTAAGTGGAGTAGCA